ATAGAATTCACGTCCTAAAACAGACAACCACGCACAGTACTTTTTAATATTCAAATACACGCAATGGTGAGGGCACACTCAGCTCCTTCTATAACAATTAAAGCGAATTTGAAGTCAACTCAATATTTAATTCTGTATTTGACCGACGGCCTTAATTGTAGTCAAACTAATTTCATTGATAGTTGAAAGTCAGTTTTCTACTCCGCGTAGAAAACATAAGAGCCTTGGTTGACAAACGATTTCTTTGAAGAGAGTTGAAGAAAATCCCCGATGTCACATCAAGTGTTCGCTTTGTCTAGTCTCAGAGGATGCTGACCATGATAACGAGGTGGAACAACTTCGCAGTCAGATGAAAAGACGGGGCTGACAATTCACTGACGACACTGTTTTGAAGATGACTTCCTTTCGTTAATTAATACGGATGAATAAAAATTGTTGAGAGTTCAACACATGGTTGAGATACAGTGGGCCATCATTAAATGATTGTTTACAGTGAACGAATATGCTGACAATGGTGCATGGAACAATAAATGCAATTTATGATTATTTTGTTTGTTGTTCAACGCCGCACCCAGCAATATTCCAGCTATACAAGCACACTTTATGGTTACTAGAATAAACTGTTAAATGATAAGTAGACGTAAAGATTTCATACAGCAAAGTATACTCTCCCCAAAAAAACGCATCATGAAAATAACAATTTCATGTAGCAATGAAATAAAACGTGATTCATTTTGCAAAAGGTTTTGCACTGTTTATGAGTCCTATGGTGTTTATGTTTTGAAACATCACAACAAAAGGCACCATCCGTAAAATACCCGTATTTAACAGCATGATTTTCAATTTCGGCGTGTAGTGTCACAGAATACACAATTCACATGCAATGCACGTGAAAGTTGGGGATCAGATAGTCTCAATGATGGGTATAAAAGGTTGATCGCTGTCTGTCGATTATTCACTGTATTTGGAATATTGTTGACGAACGCAATATGCCACGTCTAAGTGAAGCCACCCGTCATATCGTCATTGGTTTGCTTGAAGCTGGCCACTCTCAACGTGCAGTTGCCCGACGCATGAATGCTCGCCAAAGCACCATTTCACGGCTCTGGGAGAGATATCGCCGTCAGAATTCGGTAGCAGATGCCCCTCGTACTGGGCGACCTCGAGCGACAACAACATCGTCGACATCGAGTTCAATGGTGCACCAACGTTCAGGCCTGGAACCTACCGAATTGGCGTAGAATCTGGTTCAGAGATGAATCACGATTTCTATTAGAACGACGCCATGGAAGAATGCGGGTGTACAGACGTCGACGTGAACGTTTCGCCGACGCTTGCGTTCCCCAGGTGGACAGATTCGGCCCGGGAAGTGTTATGATGTGGGGAGCGATCACCTGCCGTAGGAGAAGTGATTTGGTGATGATCCAGGGCAACCTGACAGCTCAACGGTGACGATATCCTACGCCCACACCTCCTTCCAATCATTGATCGCCAGATGGAGTTGTTTCAACAGGACAATGCCAGGCCCCACACAGCACGTCACACTAGAGACTTCCTCCAGAACCATAACATCAATGTGCTCCCCTGGCCCTCAAGATCACCGGACTTAAACCCGATCGAACATCTGTGGGATGCCCTGGACAGACGGGTGCGACGCCGTAACCCTCAGCCCCAGACACTTCAGCAACTCGCACAGGCACTACAGGCAGAGTGGGCTGCGTCATTGGGCAACACGAGATTCTGAGACTTATTCGTTCGATGCCGAGGCGATGCCCTGTAGTTCTGGACGCCCACGGTGGTCGCACGAGGTATTGACTTCAGCGCCACCACACGTCTCCATGTGACACTCAAACTGACTTTCCTCGAGTTGGTGCCAAAGACGGATAAGTCTGCATTCCCAGTGTGCAATTTCGCTATATTTCATTGACTCATAAAGCTTACAAGATGTTTCAAAATAAACATAAAAATACAGTTGAAATTCCTATATGCGTTTCTTTTTTGGGAGAGTATATATTTTCACCAACGTTTTCAGTATGTTTGTGGTTATTCATCAATCAATGTTTACGTTTGTTTGTCTGTTTGCTGTTCAGCAATGTTCCAGCCATATGGCAGCAGTCTGTAAATACTCGAGTCTGACAATCCAGTGATCAACAGCATGAACATCGATCAACGCAAAATGACAGGTGTCAACCAATCAGCGGGCCTGACCACCCAATCCCGTAGGTCGCTTCATACAACAAGCATGGGTTACTGAAGACCAATTCTAATCCGATCTTCATGGGTTCAAATAAGAAGAAATGTAATGACTTCGCATACTTACCTTTGAGGGATATGCTTAGAGACGCATATGCAGTGGAACTGTTGGATAAAAGCGACACACCCTTTCACATAACCATGACATTTCTTGTTAAAGAACAGTCGATTATTAGTCTTTGATACCAGGTGTTCGCACAAAGGTGAGCGTTTCTTGTCCCAAGAACTTACCAGTCAAACTTTAAAATTGCACTGGACACAATTTTTTGGTCATTGATGCATCTAAGTTGGAAATGTTCACCATAAAACTTTAAAAAGCTTAAATGCTGTAACCCGGATCAAACACTTTTGGTTCGTAAGGTCCTGCAAATTAGATGATAAAGCTACTCTGTTTTCAAGTTTGCGGTCCTTTATCGTTGATTTAAGACCGCTAAATGTAATTTAAAAACCGAACGCGTTAGCGTGAGACCGCTACATTAATTATTTAGCGGTCTTAAATCAACGATAAATGACAGCAAAATTGAAAACAGAGTAGCTTTATCTTCTAATTTAAGTACGGTTTTGATAAACTCTCAGCTAATCAGAATCGAGTATCACACCATGTCGTGCTAGAATCTTCGTTGAAAGAGCATGGTCGATTGTACCTCCAAGTCATCTCTCCTGTCGAACAGTCACTGAATCTGTATGTTGATTTCTAAATATGAAACAGACAAGTTTGTTTCATCTGTCTCCTTGTTATTTATAGTTAATACTGGTGAATTGGTGGCCAAAATATTACAGCTGCTTGCCCGTCACTGAACGATATGAGATCATTTATACAGGGTAGCTTAAGTTGAATTTCATGGACAAATTTCCTTTGTTTTGATTTTGCATATCCGATTGAAAAGGTCAAGAAAAAGTAATAAATAGACAGTTGAAATACATCCCTTTTTTAACTTTGTCGTAGAGCAAAATTGAAGATAATATGCATTTTCAGATCAAGAAAAAACAATGACGTTTCATTTCCTCATTCAGGCATACCTGGTTCCAATCTTGTCTTCGTGTTGTAAAGTTTGGGTCAGAGACCCATTTCTTGTTGCAGAACCACCCGTTCGACGATACTTGCCCCCCCAGTCGAAAATTTACGCTCTCAGATTTTCGGGCAACCTCTCTATCGTACCCATAATTTTGACTGTTCATTGAGATACTCTCTCATTTTAAATCATGTGCTTAGCTCAGTTGGAACAGTGGTTGAAAGTTCTCCAACAAGATCGCCCACTTTAACTTCTGTGTGCACCACTTGCTGTTTAAATTACACTATGATTAGATGATGCGTTCAGATGCACGGTACTGTACGTGTTGATATGACAGCAGTGAGTAGATCATGTGTTCGCTCACTTATTGTTAGGTTAGCATTCTGATTAGCTGCGTTGGTCGTGTATCCAAAGAAGATACCTTTCACCACCTTGTTTGGTGTTTCACGAAACACTCAACAGTCTGTAAATAATCGTATCTGGACCAGACAATCCAGTGATTAACATCATGAGCATGGATAGGCACTATACGAAAACAAAACACTATGACTTTTGTTTAGCCTCTGGCTAATTGTGTGGAATCCGGGAGTCATTCATGGTTACGAATCACTTTACAAAATGAGCTGGCCTGCTTGAAAACAACGTAAATTCTCGCGAGAGATCGGGAGTAAGAAGCCTTGGCATGAAGCCTGCTGAATCCTTTGTCATTCCGTATTCTCTGCTCTCTGCATGATAGATGTCAATTATATTGGTTATGGGGCGTGTGGTCAATTGTAGATCGTCCACAAACATGTAATCTTTCAACATTTTCCTTCGTGGTGGTAATTGATTGTCTTGCTGATTTGGAGAGTCTTCGAGAACATTCATCCCTCCAGGGGCTTAACACTACAAAGGAATGAGTATCATCCCTAAAGTTGACATTATGTTTAAGCGGACATCCCTTACCATTTAAGGGGTGGTGGGGTTGCCTAGTAGTTAAAGCGTTCGCTCGTCACGCCGAAGATCAGGTTTCGATTCCCCATCTTTGAACAATGTGTGAAGCCCATTTCAGATGTCGTCACATTGCTGGAATATTGGTAAAGGCGGCGTACAACTAAACTGACTCACGTTTCAAATTTGTCATCACCCAAAGAGAATACCTCGTCACTTTGTGGAAATATTCTTCCTGACAGTGTTCTAGGGTTAATTGCCGCCTGTAAAAGCGTTAAAGAGTACCAAGGTCCTTTGTTGTTTAGCTGAATGTTCAGCCACCTCTCATGATTGAATCTGACAGACAAATCAGTGATCAACGATCCACGTCTCAGGGTCACGTCAACACAGCTAGTTAGGTCAGCCATTGCAACCATCCCAACCGTAAGATTTGGGTTAGAATCTGGTCTAACGAGGCGACTAATGGGATCGGGTGGTCAGGCTTGCTGATTTGGTTGATGCATGTCCTCGTATGACAACTGAGTAGATCGATGCTCGTGATTGGCTGATCAAGACTCGATCATATACAGAACTGGCACATTGCTGGCAACTTGGCGACTGCGGCATTTAACAGCAAGCACACAAACTGTAACCACCCGATCCCATATACTCGATTCTAGACCAGTCAGTTGGACATAGCTCACCCAACCACCTTCACTATCACCACGAATCCCCTAGAGGTCGCGATTAACATATTTAACGGTTCACAATTAACAGTTCTTGTACATTAAAACAAAAATACTAAAAAACAACAAAAACATCATAAAAATATTAACAATGTATAAGTTAACCTTTTAATAAGTGGAGCATACTTATATCGCATATTCCAGTAAGGGAAGAAACATGAACAATGAATTCATCGACAATTGAATTTTCGGGAAATAGCAAAAGTAATTTGAAGCTGTCATGGTAATGATATGTAATTATCAACGAAAAAACAGAAGTCCCGTTATTTATCTACCCGTGAGACATCGATGTGGTATCAGTATATTCCGTCTGGGACACGGTGGCGTGCCATGTCACGAGGTGGCGTGACAGGTGCATCTGTCTCCTGTCACCTGACCCCACGTCGTGTGAGACAAGAAACGTTATCATCTGCACATATATTTATTATTTCCATAGGAAGATTTGCGTTCAAAACAACTAGTTCTTCCTGAAGATAATTTTCGTTTTAAACAGATTAGAAATTACAATGCTTTTGTAGGATACACACATGTGAGAATCTGTTAGTCATACTGAATGTGGAAATGTTACAATCAATGGGTCGATGACAGATGCACACGTGGCAATCGATGGGTGATGCCGAATGTATATGATATGAGTGAGTGAGTTTAGTTTTACGCCTCATACATAATATATGTTTGGCAATCCATTAGTGATGCTGAATGTATTTAATGTGGCAAACAACGGTTAATTGTGACCCTGTGTTTACATAATATCACAATCTGTGGGTAATCCTTGATGTACAAATGTGACAATCTACGGATGATCCTTGATGTACAAATGTGACAATCTGTGAGTGATCCTTGCTGTACAAATGTGACATTCTGAGGGTAATCCTTGATGCACAAATGTGACAAAGTACGGGTAATCCTTGATGCACCAATGTGACAATCTACGAGTGATCCTTGATGTACAAATGTGACAATCTGTGAGTGATCCTTGATGCATAAATGTGAAAATCTGTGGGTGATCCTTGCTGTACAAATGTGACATTCTGAGGGTAATCCTTGATGCACAAATGTGACAAAGTACGGGTAATCCTTGATGCACCAATGTGACAATCTACGAGTGATCCTTGATGTACAAATGTGACAATCTGTGAGTGATCCTTGATGCATAAATGTGAAAATCTGTGGGTGATCCTTGCTGTACAAATGTGACATTCTGAGGGTAATCCTTGATGCACAAATGTGACAAAGTACGGGTAATCCTTGATGCACCAATGTGACAATGTACGGGTGATCCTTGATGCACAAATGTGACAATCTGTGGGTGATCCTTGCTGTACAAATGTGACATTCTGAGGTAATCCTTGATGTACAAATGTGACAACCTGAGGGTGATGCTTGATGTACAAATGTGACAATCTGAGGGTGATGCTTGATGTACAAATGTGGCAACCTGAGGATGATGCTTGATGTACAAATGTGACAATCTGTAGGTGATCCTTGATGTGCAAATGTGACAATCTACGGGTGATCCCTGATGTAAAAATGTGACAATCTGAGGGTAATCCTTGATGTACAAATATGACAATCTGTAGGTGATCCTAGATGCACAAATGTGGCAATCTGTAGGAGATCCTTGATGTACAAATGTGACAATCTGTGGGAGATCCTTGATGTACAAATGTGGCAATCTTTTGGCGATCCTTGATGTACAAATGTGACAATCTGAGGGTAATCCTTGATGTACAAATGTGACAATCTACGGGTGATCCTTGATGTACAAATGTGACAGACTGTGGGTGATCCTTGATGTACAAACGCGACAATCTACGGGTGATCCCTGATGTACAAATGTGGCAATCGTTCGGAGATCCTTGATGTACAAATGTGACAATCTGTGAGTGATTCTTGATGTACAAATATGACAATCTGTAGGTGATCCTTGATGTGCAAATGTGACAATCTACGGATGATCCCTGATGTACAAATGTGGCAATCTGTGGGAGATTCTTGATGTACAAATGTGACAATCTGAGGGTAATCCTTGATGTACAAATGTGACAATGTACGGGTGATCCTTGATGTACAAATGTGACAATCTGAGGGTGATCCTTGATGTACAAATGTGACAATGTACGGGTGATCCTTGATGTACAAATGTGGCAATTTGTGGGAGATCCTTGATGTACAAATGTGACAATCTGAGGGTAATCCTTGATGTACAAATGTGACAATGTACGGGTGATCCTTGATGTACAAATGTGACAATCTGAGGTAATCCTTGATGTACAAATGTGACAACCTGAGGGTGATGCTTGATGTACAAATGTGACAATCTGTGGGAGATCCTTGATGTACAAATGTGACAATCTGTGGGAGATCCTTGATGTACAAATGTGAAAATTTACGGGTGATCCCTGATGTACAAATGTGGCAATCTGTTGGCGATCCTTGATGTACAAATGTGACAATCTGAGGGTAATCCTTGATGTACAAACGCGACAATCTACGGGTGATCCCTGATGTACAAATGTGGCAATCTTTCGGAGATCCTTGATGTACAAATGTGACAACCTGAGGGTGATGCTTGATGTACAAATATGACAATCTGTAGGTGATCCTTGATGTGCAAATGTGACAATCTGTGGGTGATCCCTGATGTACAAATGTGACAACCTGAGGGTGATGCTTGATGTATAAATATATGACAATTTACGGGTGATCCTTGATGTACAAATGTGACATCCTTGATGTACAAATGTGACAACCTGACAACCTGAGGGTGATGCTTGATGTACAAATGTGACAATCTGTGAGTGATCCTTGATGTACAAATATGACAATCTGTAGGTGATCCTTGATGAGCAAATGTGACAATCTGTGGGTGATCCCTGATGTACAAATGTGGCAATCTGTGGGAGATCCTTGATGTACAAATGTGACAACCTGAGGGTGATGCTTGATGTATAAATATGACAATTTACGGGTGATCCTTGATGTACAAATGTGACAATCTGAGGTAATCCTTGATGTACAAATGTGACAACCTGAGGGTGATGCTTGATGTACAAATGTGACAATCTGAGGGTGATCCTTGATGTACAAATGTGACAATCTGTGGGAGATCCTTGATGTACAAATGTGACAATCTGTGAGTGATCCTTGATGTACAAATGTGACAATGTACGGGTGATCCTTGATGTACACATGTGACAATGTATGGGTAGTACTGGTTATTCAATGGATGGAGGATGTATGACATGTACTGCAACCTCCTGACAATAGATATACATAGACGTTGAATGTCACAAGCATCGGACACAAGTTGACATACGGTGTCTGTAGATGACATGGATTGTGGGTTATATGCCAAACAAATATAATAACAATACATGTAGGTTCAGTTGAGTAAATACCAATACCCAACACTGCTCATCATGCATAATTTATTGTGGATCAGACTGCAACACTCCTTTAGGGGCAGTGACATACCCCTCTTAATATGTACACACAGCTGTAGCATGACTGTGTTACAATAGAGTCCTTGAAGCCTTGAGAAGCATGTGATGTTATACCCACTGCGTCAGTGAGTGAGTAAGGTTTTACGTCGCTTTCAGCAATATTCCAGAAATATCAAGGTAGGGGAACACAAGAAATGGGAATCACACATTGTACCCTTGTATGAAATCGAACACAGACCTTCGGCGTGAGGGGCGGTGGGGTAGCCTAGTGGTTAAAGCGTTCGCTCTTCACGCCGAAGGCCCGGGTTCGATTCCCCAAATGGCTACAATGTGTGAAGCCCATTTCTGGTGTCCCCCGCCGTGATGTTGCTGGAATATTGCTAAAAGCGGTGTAAAACCTAACTCGCCTTCGGCGTGACGAGCGTCTGCTTTAACCACTCGGCTACCCCACCGCTCTCACAGCATTAGTTATTCCATTTACCTGGAATACCAACAGACTGAGTTAAGGAAAGGTTTAACGCTGCTGTCAGCAGTATTCGAGTTATAAGAAGGGTTAAACACTGGGGTGATACGCCTGTAACAAGATTGGCACCATACTTGAAAGTACCATCTAAGCCTTTGGCTGGGTTATTATCATCAAAGCGCTGTCGTCTCCGTGGACCTGTACCATACAAAGACGTTGTTGTTCATGTCGCGCACGGAACTGTCTCCAAACAGTGATACCACGTCACGATGCAACCTGAAAAGAAAACATATTTTTAAAAAAAGTCGATATATAACAACAGTAGTGAGTGAGTGAGTATGGTTTTACGCCGCTTTTAGCAATGGCAATATCACAGCCGGGGACACCAGAAATGGGCTTCACACATTGTACCCATGTGGGGAATCGAACCCGGGTCTTCGGGGTGACGAGCGAACTCTTCAACCACTAGGCTACCCAACCGCCCCTATGACAATAGTAACATTCATTCCATCCACCACTGGTTTTCCTGCTCCAGCTTCGACCATTAGCACCCGTTATACACATAGAGTCATTTATTTTACGTTTCATCAATACTACAATATATGCCTGATTGTGTACGGTCTTAAGCCGTTTCAAGCAGTATTCCAGCAATAACACGGTGGGATATACCAGAACAGGCTCCACATACCGTATGCATTAGGCTGGGATGGGTCCAAATTTTCTACCCGAGTACCCCACCCCCTATTACCCGGATTTCCGTTATGTTAATTTCTGACATCAAATTTGCAAGAAATGGCAATTGTTTCTTCAGCTCGGGGGCTAAAATCTCGAGTTTTCAATATCTTATCCACGTATTCAAAACAGGTTACTGCATAATTATATCTACATCTTTAAAGACCATACAACCTTTTAATTATGAAAGAATAACATATTACATTGTTTAATTTATTAGTCACATAATCATAACGGGTCCGGGTATTGAGACAGGTACCCGGGTCCAACTCATTACCCACCCGTCCCGGGTATCCGGGTTACTCGTCCTATGCGTCCAGCCCTAGGCCTAGTACGCAGCTATTAAAAAGTGAACCCAGCTCTTAGGTGCAACGGGTGAACAACGTGGTAACAACCAGGGGGTAATGGAAAATAATCAAACAGAGTTTGTTCATTTCAATTAATAACATAATTATTAATATTAATGCACACTATTATATAATGAAATGGTAATGGTACATATGAAAATACATAGTAAACGGTGCTTAACAATTTACAAATGCATTTGATACGAGCTGTTGGTTAAGATCAGCAGCAGTTACGTATCTTCATTCGCTAGTCTACATACCTGACTTCAAACTCTGGTCTGTCGATGGTCACCACCTCACCGTCACAGTTGAGGTAGTACTTGTCTGTCAGCAGGGCCTCACCCTCCGGCGTCTGTAGCTGGGGGGTGTTTGGGAATCGGACTCGGAATCCCTGGACCCGGAGCTGGTCCACAAAGTCATAATCCCACTAGAAACATACGAGTAACAAATATCTGTGGGTATAAAGTTATATTCTCGACATGATTCGAATATCATAAGAACACGTCATTTAACTCATGTAGTGAATATCATCAACATAAAGTTTTTTGTTAATGCTCAATTATTCGTCTGTTTCCCCCAAAAAAATAATACAATTAAACCTGTCTGACAATCAACGTGAAAATGCACTTGAAACTTCACTGAGCGTGACATTTTAATACGTATTTCAGAATTTGCCTTTAAGAGGATGTTTATTACTCAAGGGTACGTGTTAATGACACAGCATGAAAAGTCAAAATTCCGATACACTGAAGTTCCCATTTTGCTAATTTACAGATGTGTTTTTGCTTTTCACACAATATTGAAGAATATGAACATTACAATGTCGGTTATATTTCGGAAGGTATACGGAAAGCCGAACTTTTATACTGAGTGTGAAATCGACCAACTTTGCCTGCATCAGTTTACTTCACAACAAAGGCGAGAGAATCACAATAGAGTATCATAATGGTGTACACGTGCTCTGTTGTGCCCATTAATGACGCATTGGTCGGCTGGTCGTTATTCATGGTAACGATCCAGGCAGTGCAGGCACGCGCAAAGACTGTTTGATTCAGTCGAGAGGGGGAGAGCATCGTTACGTCGTAAGATATGTCGACCTTCACCCTAACCACAAATGACGTCAGTGACATCCATATCTGCCACACTGAGAACGTTACCACCTACTTCTGAAGGAGGGGCGGTGGGGTAGCCTAATGGTTAAAGCGTTGGCTCGTCACGCCGAAGACCCGGGTTCGAATCCCCACATGGGTACTATGTGTGAAGCCCATTTCTGGTGTCCCCCGCCGTGATGTTGCTGGAATATTGCTAAAAGCGGCGTAAAACCAAACTCAGTCAGTCAATCAGTACTTCTGAAGGATTACACGCATAGTCATATACAGTGGTTCGCTAAATATCCCACAGTGTCCGTATTCAAACCAACATATTTCGAAAAAGGTTACATTTTCATGTTTCATCTTTCATGCTCTCTTAGTCATATTCAATGTTATTTCAAAAAAAGGCTCTTAAAAATGCATAAGTGGCAACACCCATATGTGCTCATCTTATAAAAACTATGTGGACTGTACACACAACTATAGACCAAAGCTTGCTGACACAAGCAGATGTCTTAAGGGAACTTCACTGTATATCTGGAAGCTCCGTGCGAACTCCAACCAGTGGCCCTCTACAGTATGTTAGTATATGAGCCCCTCAATTTTTGATGGCAGTTACTGTATAATGCTACCAATGGATTGGGTGGCCACAATCGGTGACGTAACTGCATGCGTGTCTTCGTACACTGCAGACGTCGTGGATCTTTGCTGACAATGTGGATCACTGCATTGTCGTCTCCAGACTCGATTGTTTACTGACCGACATCTTATAGCTCGAATATTGCTAGGTGTGACGACAGACAATAACAAACTTTTATCATCACATACGTACAATCGTAACAATGAAAATTATTCAGTGAACACATACACAGTCTTTTGATTGAAGCTGGACCTTCCTCAGTTGTTTCATGTGGTTAGACAACTTGCATTTGCCTGTGATATACAGAGAGAGAGCACTGTCACCAAAACATGCCGCCATCTTGGATTCCTCGGGCCGCCATGTTATGACGTAAGCGTCAATGCCATACACACTGCGGCTCAGCGTCTGCCACGTGTCAGTCAAGTAATCCATTTCAATGTCAATCATCCGCCTGTTCATCACCGACCTTGTGGGTATAATCTTGAATCTAGCTGACCCCATCCACCTGTACCCTTCAAGGTCATTCATGATGTCGCCAATCAAACCAAACCCTAACAGCAGCCCAGAATAACAACACAATTGTCTGCCCTTGAATACGCTGACAACGTTGGCTTTTTGACATTTTCCTAGAAAAAGAACGAAAATATTTTTACATACGAAGGCTGTTTGGTCTTTTTCTTCGATGTAAAAAGTGTTTGTGATTTAATCTGGGAAATATTCTGATTTTTCTAAATGGTCCATATCTCATATACGACACCGTTGCAAGGTAAATCCGCACTTTGGTTGGTCGGTTTCATGGTGCGTGTGATGTAATGCGTGATGGCGTGTGTGATGGTATGTACGGCGGCTTTCAAGCTTGTCATGTGACGTCGGATGTGATGGTGTGCATGATGACGATTGTGGTGACAAGTGTGATGACTTGTGTGACGACTTGTGTAATGACTAGTGTGATGTGTGTGATGATGAGTGTGATGATGTGTATGATTATGTGCAAGATGACACGTATGATGACTAGTATGATGAAGTGTGTGACTGGGTTTGTGACAACATTTCAACCTGTGTTACAACGTGAGATAATAGCAGGCTTAGAGTACCTAGAACTACGTGTATCGCTGCCGTCGTGGGGTCCCTGGTGCCGTGGAGGTACTGCACGATGAAGTCACCAGAACCTTACAACAGAAAGCGAGCAGTTTGCAGTACCAGCACTGTCATAGCCAGGACAAGTGTCGCTGGCCCCTGTGTCCTCAACCATATCTTGGGCAGCACCAAAATGGTTTGCGTTAACGACCTTAGTGACTTAGGGCTTTCCTCATTGGTAGGGCGTCAGGGACAGATACAACCAGGATGAATGACAAATGCTACTACTCACATGCTGGTATGATGCTTGCAGGTGGAGATGCAGGTGTGGTGGCCTACAGTCTACTACTCACATGCTGGTATGATGCTTCCAGGTGGAGATGCAGGTGTAATGGCCTACAGTCTACTACTCACATGCTGGTATGATGCCTACAGGTGGAGATGCAGGTGTAATGGCCTACAGTCTACTACTCACCTGCTGGCATGATGCCTACATTTGGAGATGCAGGTGTGATGGCCTACAGTCTACTACTCACATGCTGGTATGATGCCTACATTTGGAGATGCAGGTGAGGTGGCCCACAGTCTACTACTCACATGCTGGTATGATGCCTACAGGTAGAGATGCAGGTGTGGTGGCCCACAGTCTACTACTCACATGCTGGTATGATGCCTACAGGTGGAGATGCAGGTGTGATGGCCCACAGTCTACTACTCACATGCTGGTATGATGCCTACATTTGGAGATGCAGGTGTGGTGGCCCACAGTCTACTACTCACATGCTGGTATGCTGCCTACAGGTAGAGATGCAGGTGTGATGGCCCACAGTCTACTACTCACATGCTGGTATGATGCCTACAGGTATAGATGCAGGTGTGATGGCCCACAGTCTACTACTCACATGCTGGTATGATGCCTACATTTGGAGATGCAGGTGTGGTGGCCCACAGTCTACTACTCACATGCTGGTATGATGCCTACATTTGGAGATGCAGGTGTGGTGGCCTACAGTCTACTACTCACATGCTGGTATGATGCCTACAGGTGGAGATGCAGGTGTGATGGCCCACAGTCTACTACTCACATGCTGGTATGATGCCTACAGGTGGAGATGCAGGTGTGGTGGCCCACAGTCTACTACTCACATGCTGGTATGATGCCTACATTTGGAGATGCAGGTGTGATGGCCCACAGTCTACTACTCACATGCTGGTATGATGCCTACAGGTTGAGATGCAGGTGTGGTGGCCCACAGTCTACTACTCACATGCTGGTATGATGCCTACATTTGGAGATGCAGGTGTGGTGGCCCACAGTCTATTACTCACATGCTGGTATGATGCCTACAGGTGGAGATGCAGGTGTGGTGGCCCACAGTCTACTACTCACATGCTGGTATGATGCCTACAGGTTGAGATGCAGGTGTGGTGGCCCACAGTCTACTACTCACATGCTGGTATGATGCCTACAGGTGGAGATGCAGGTGTGATGGCCCACAGTCTAATACTCACATGCTGGTATGATGCCTACAGGTGGAGATGCAGGTGTGGTGGCCCACAGTCTACTACTCACATGCTGGTATGATGCCTACATTTGGAGATGCAGGTGTGGTGGCCCACAGTCTACTACTCACATGCTGGTATGATGCCTACAGGTAGAGATGCAGGTGTGGTGGCCCACAGTCTACTACTCACATGCTGGTATGATGCCTACATTTGGAGATGCAGGTGTGATGGCCCACAGTCTACTACTCACATGCTGGTATGATGCCTACAGGTGGAGATGCAGGTGTGATGGCCCACAGTCTACTACTCACATGCTGGTATGATGCCTACAGGTGGAGATGCAGGTGTGGTGGCCCACAGTCTACTACTCACCTGCTGGTATGATGCCTACAGGTGGAGATGCAGGTGTGGTGGCCCACAGTCTATTACTCACATGCTGGTATGATGCCTACTCCCACATGCTGCTGGTATGTGCAGGTGTGGTGGCCCACAGTCTACTACTCACATGCTGGTATGATGCCTACATTTGGAGATGCAGGTGTGGTGGCCTACAGTCTACTACTCACATGCTGGTATGATGCCTACAGGTGGAGATGCAGGTGTGATGGCCCACAGTCTACTACTCACATGCTGGTATGATGCCTACATTTGGAGATGCAGGTGTGGTGGCCCACAGTCTACTACTCACATGCTGGTATGATGCCTACATTGGGTGGAGATGCAGGTGTGATGGCCCCACAGTCTACTACTCACATGCTGGTATGATGCCTACATTTGGAGATGCAGGTGTGGTGGCCCACAGTCTACTACTCACATGCTGGTATGATGCCTACAGGTTGGAGATGCAGGTGTGGTGGCCCACAGTCTACTACTCACATGCTGGTATGATGCCTACAGGTAGAGATGCAGGTGTGATGGCCCACAGTCTACTACTCACATGCTGGTATGATGCCTACATTTGGAGATGCAGGTGTGGTGGCCCACAGTGGCCCACAGTCTACTACTCACATGCTGGTATGATGCCTACATTTGGAGATGCAGGTGTGATGGCCCACAGTCTACTACTCACATGCTGGTATGATGCCTACAGGTAGGAGATGCAGGTGTGATGGCCCACAGTCTACTACTCACATGCTGGTATGATGCCTACATTTGGAGATGCAGGTGTGGTGGCCCACAGTCTACTACTCACATGCTGGTATGATGCCTACAGGTGGAGATGCAGGTGTGATGGCCCACAGTCTACTACTCACATGCTGGTATGATGCCTACAGGGTGGGAGATGCAGGTGTGATGGCCCACAGTCTACTACTCACATGCTGGTATGATGCCTACATTTGGAGATGTGGGGTGGTGGCCCACAGTCACTACTCACATGCTGGTATGATGCCTACAGAGATGCAGGTAGAGATGCAGGTGTGGTGGCCATAGTCACTACTCACATGCTGGTATGATGCCTACATTTGGAGATGCAGGTTGTGGTGGCCCACAGTCTACACTCACCTGCTGGTATGATGCCTACAGGTAGAGATGCAGGTGTGATGGCCCACAGTCTACTACTCACATATGCTGGTATGATGCCTACAGGTATAGATGCAGGTGTGATGGCCCACAGTCTACACTACTCACATGCTGGTATGATGCCTACAGGTATAGATGCAGGTGTGATGGGTGAACACAGTCTACTACTCACATGCTGGTATGATGCCTACAGGTGGAGATGCAGGTGTGATGGCCCACAGTCTACTACTCACATGCTGGTATGATGCCTACATTTGGAGATGCAGGTGTGATGGCCCACAGTCTACTACTCACATGCTGGTATGATGCCTACAGGTGGAGATGCAGGTGTGATGGCCCACAGTCTACTACTCACATGCTGGTATGATGCCTACATTTGGAAACGCTGGTGTGATGGCGGACATTCTACTATTCGCCTGCTGGCATGATGCCTACAGGTTAGAGATGCAGGTGTGATGGTCGATAGTGTATTACCCACCTGCTGGTATGATGCCTACAGGTAGAGATGCAGGTGTGATGGTGGATTCCGGGTCATTGGGGTCAATCCTTGCCCTCAGCTGAGCTCTGACGAGAAGCCCCGTGACACACTCGCTGTAGAAGCCGTCCCCACCCACAGCAATTACCCTGAAACACCACATTCAGTTGAACATATATCACACTATATGTATATAGTACATGTATACAGGTGAACATATCACACTATATGTATATAGTACATGTATACAGTTGAACATATATCACACTATATGTATATAGTACATGTATACAGGTTAACTTATCACACTATATGTATATAGTACATGTATACGGGTGAACATATCACACTATATGTATATAGTACACGTATACGGGTGAACATATCACACTATATGTATATAGTACATGTATACGGGTGAACATATCACACTATATGTATATAGTACATGTATACGGGTGAACATATCACACTATATGTATATAGTACATGTATACGGGTGAACATATCACACTATATGTATATAGTACATGTATACGGGTGAACATATCACACTATATGTATATAGTACATGTATACGGGTGAACATATCACACATATGTATATAGGACATGTATACAGGTGAACATATCACACTATATGTATATAGTACATGTATACGGGTGAACATATCACACTATATGTATATAGTACATGTATACGGGTGAACATATCACACTGTATGTATATAGTATGTATACAGTACATGTATACAGGTGATACATGTATACACATATCACACTGTATATAGTACATGTATACAGGTGAACATATCACACTATATGTATATAGTACATGTATACGGGTGAACATATCACACTGTATTCATATAGTACAAGTATACGGGTGAACATATCACACTGTATTTATATAGTACATGTATACAGGTGAACATATCACACTGTATTTATATAGTACATGTATACGGGACCTCATACATCTTACACTAGCCATGAACCGACAGTGAACTTTCATCTACACAAATCCAACCATCTTCATCTGTGTTCCACACACCGTTAAACTTGCCTCGTGCCGTATTCCGAAGAAGGTCAATCTGACTTAAATTATTTCCTTTCAATTTGATTACGCAATATGAAAAAAACCCCAAACTTGCCCCTCAAAATCGGATAGATCCCTGTTCTTCAATATTTCCTCAGCATGTTTTGGCCTCTCTGTCACTGTAAAGAGACATGTATATCTTTATGTACCTTTCAACATTGGGTAGGGTTAGACTGTGTAATCCGGTTACACGATGTAACATGCAGTAGAGTAACACAGTGGTATGATATCGACACTTCGTTTCCAAGTATAGAGAAATCGATATATCGTTAATCGTTCTAAGAAGTAACTGTACCTCTGCAGACCACATGAAACATTTAAAGGTGAGGCATGGTCCTGTACATCCGCCTGAACAGTAATATTCAAACCCGGAACAGCTTTGTGTGGAAGTGAGTGAATGTTCTTTAAAATTCGAATCTAGACTAAGCAATGCAGTGACTGCATCAACACTGAGAAAACGAAAACGTCGTTTTTGTGTGTATGGGGATTTGACGAAAAACGAGGGACACTTAATTACAATTGATTCATATAGTGTCTGTTTATGGTGCTAGCTATTGATACCGTGACGCAGTGGAACATAGATACCTCACTAGGCACATTGTGCTGACTCCGAGCTCATCTCCCCTTGTTGTATATCTGTAATGCCGAGTGCCAGGCAAGGCAACAACAAGTACCTTCTGTTATATTCATCCATCATGGTATGATACAGTAGGGGATCGAACCACTGCCCTTTTCGTCTCCAGCAAAGGCTCCAATTACTACTTTGTGTAGACCATGGAGGCGGTCCCACACCATACGATAACTGAAAGGATGCCAGGGGCGGATACAGCTTTTTGAGAATGGTGTGTGTGTATGTGTGTGTGTGTGCACCCCTCCTCTGGATCCGCCTAAGATCAGTCACACAGCCTGACCATGCGGCCCTTACTTTAATGTTCAGGTTTATGAGACGGAGTTCACTGGGCCCCTTTCTGACCCAGAATCAGGGTGTGTGTCGTGCAGTGACAGGAAGCACTTGTTGACGTCTTTGTAAGTAAATCTTACTCAGCCAAATATCAAGCTGCTGCTGTGTAACCATTGACACATTCAACACTAAAAGTAAAAAAATAATATTCTAAATAACCCCATTTGGGGAGTCGTCTTAAGCATATGTTCATACGGGTTGGTCTAATACCCGGTGTAATAACCATATCGATCTGAATGGCTCAATCCAAAATTAATTCAAGGAAATGACATTATCGAGATGACACCCCGCCAGGCGGCGCTCACCTGCATCCCTATGCAGATCCCCGATGCATGTTTGCAGGTGGGATGCCGGGGTTACTGGTGCATTTAAAATTTGACAATTCAATAATGTTTCAAAATTATTGCATCAGGGTTACACATAGCACAAACGATCTTGTGTTGACAAGCTGATAAGTAGACAGCATAAAACAGCAGTAGAATTGTTCGGCGCCAATTTGCCTAGTGCAGAGAGTTACGGGCCCTGAATAAACCGAGTCCCTGCAGCTAATCCCCCAACTTTAAATCACATTCATGTCCTATCAAATTACACCTCGAAGTGATTATTACATAAATATGCAGAGTAGTTATTGTCATGCGGACATTTTGTATGAATCACCTGGCGTCAGGCGAAGTCTGCGTCCATCCATAGCCACAAAGACTGTGATTATTCAGTGTGCAAGGCAGCAAAAGGTAATTTATGTTTTACATTGAATAATAAAGTCATAAACTCATATTTACGAGGTGAAAATACCATGCTGTCGGAATTCTAATAACTTAAAGGTGCTGTTGGTTTTTGTTTGGTTAGACAGGGATAGGCCAAGGTTACCCAATATAAGGGCGTCTGTTTATATACAACAAAGCCTCGAAGTCGTTATGGCGGGCAAAGAGGTGTTAGATGTCGTCGAGGAATTCTGGGTTCTTTGATGGCGCTAAAATGATGAGGATAGTCCTTGTACTTATATAAAAAGTAAACTGCTCAATAGCGATTATTAAACACCATCAATCATGTTCTTGGATGATATGATACGTTTGTAGTGTGGGGATAAAAGAAGATGACGACCTATTTCATTCAGGGTTTTAATTTGAGGTTTAAATCGTTCGGGTCACTATATATGGCAAACCATATGTTCTGGCCTCAGTGTGTAACACAGGGAACGTATTTCCTTGATTGATGTGACACGCAATCTGCCCTCAGGAAGAGATTATCCGATGGGCGGGTCTCTTTGACTTTTAGTAAATATGCCTTGACTAAGTGCAAGCCTTTGTGAATTACATTGTACTACTGATATGCAATAATTACGGAAAAGGGATGGGCAAGTGTGCTGATTGGGCAAAGTACTCCAGTCAAAGATGACACAACATAAAAAGACATAATGCCACCCTTTCAAGAAGAGTTATATATTACTCGGGACATATATTTAAATTTGGAATAACCAATATTACACGTAATTTAGCGGGCTTCATTGACAACATATTAGCTGTCTACTTATCAAAAGTGCGTGATATATTTGTTAAGAACATATAATAATTTTCATTTAAAAGTATTGACGTAAACGATATAGCCGACAAACCACAATCGCAGCTGTAGTCTACGTGTAAACCATTGTGAATTTGATCTCTGAGCATGAGCGAATCCCCTTGCGGTAAAGTAATCTATTAATCAACAAAGCAATGAGTTTCCTCTCCGTGTGTCTTAGAACACGTCAATTTTGACCTTGACCCTGACCTCTTGAGATGCCAGGAACTGTTGGACGGAATACGAAGTTTAACCGCGACGTCTGAGCTTATTGTCCCGGTAAGATTTGTAAGAATCTGTAGGTTTTGCATGAACTATGAACTGATAAATGGAAACGTTTGTACTCACCTATGACTTCCGTGAGAACTCCACACAACGTGAGGATAGGCTCCACGTTACGTCTGAATATCGTTCTCGCGTTCCTCTTGCCGCTCACGGGGTTGATGAGTACCAGGAACCTCCGGATTGGATGACGTTCTGGAAATATAAGAGTTAGTTTGGTTGGTTTAATGAGGTTTTGAATAGTATTTTAGTAACGTCATTCGTCACTCTCGACCTCGTTACTATATACCTCGCCACACTGGATCCCATCAGACCGGGGAGGTGGGGTATCCTAGTGGTTAAAGCGTCCGCTCGTCACGCTGAAAGCCCGGGTTCGATGCCCCACATGGGTACAATGTGTGAAGCCCATTTCTAGTGTCCCCCACCGTGATATTGCTCGAACATTGCTAAAAGCGGCGTAAAACCATACTGACTCTCATCAGTCCACCTCACTATTATACAACTCCACACTGGTTAGTCCGCGTTACGTCTGTCCGTAAAAGTCACCGTCCGGATTGTCGAGGTTTCCCTGTAGTTAGTACGCTGAAATAGATGTGACAAAGTGCAGGACAGAGTACATTTACGGTTCAGTTTCATTGAGAAGAATTAAAGTACGTTGCTGAAGGTTGTGTTCGCCTCTGTTACAGGAGCCACCTTGTTATCTGGTCCATTCAACAAACCGAGTCTGTCCGTGACACATTTTGAAAAATAATTGTCCCTATTCTCCACACTGATTAACGTCTCACCGTGCTTAACTACTTTATTGTCATCATAAAACAGGGTTCAGTGGGTTTAATAACATGTAAGAGCAGCAAACGTGTGCTGCAATGCTCATGACTCGGGGGGCGGTTCAAAAGTTTGCAGTCGGATTACAACATTAATTTCTTCAGTTAGAACCGAGGGGTAGAGGAAGGGTAAAAGGTCTGCGCGTTTAGGGTCGGGGTGGCGATGGTAAAAAGTCTGTACTATTAAGGATAAGAGGGTAACATGTCTGTACGTTCTGGGGATTTTGGTGACTGCAAGCGTGCATGTTTGTGGAAGGGGTTAACAGGTCTGTACCTTTGGAGTAGGGGGTAACAGGTAGACCTTCGTTCGGAGATGGGTGCTAACAGATCTCCACGTTTGAGGGTAGGAGGTGTACGTGGATTAATTACAAACAGGTCTGCAGGTTTAGGGTTTGGAAGATAACAGGTGTGCTCGTTTTCATCCGGTAAAATCCACTTTTCAGGCTGATCACATTTAAAGCCTATAAACAGCAGCTCTAATTCTAACCATTATATTTTAGAACTGGAACTGGACAACATGAGTATATAAATGCGAAGTAAAATGCACAAAGATACGCATCTAGTAACACGAAGCTTGTGCGTTAGTGATGCACAACTTTTGTTAATAAATTCACATATTCACTGGACAGGTGGTGTTAGGTGGTTTTGAGGTCGCCTTCGCCGGTTGGCATGTCGGCAGTGAACATTTCAGCTTTTATACTTTACAATAAAGTCTTATCATTGTTTTCTTTTAATTAATTTCATTAAAAATTATTAAATATATCAATTATGACATAGTTGCAATTGTATATCGTGTATTTTGTATCTTGGTGTGTGTCGGGGGGTGACGGTGAGTGTGAGTGTGTGTGTGTGTGTGTGTGTTTGTGTGTGTGTATTATGATATGTTACGAAACTCTAACTAATTTCGCCGTCACGGAACTGTTGAACTGCTCCCTAAAAAGACCTTATGAAATAACTAAAGCACCTTTATACAACCTTTCATACCACATTTCATTTGAGTCCAGCCATGCGGTTGATGTAACACAATCGCTGTATGCAGCAACACATTTGTAGGTTGTCCATCACGGCGCTCAATGGACAGTGGCGGAGCTTTATGGACGAGTACACGGGTTACAATGGAGCAGAAATGATGTTTTCTGAGGCACAATGGACGTACTGATTTCCTTAAACTGAGCAATGTGTTGGAAGAGTAACGAAGTAGGCGGGTTTACTCAGTGCAGCTTTTTAAACCTGCTCACAAAAGGGAAACGCTTGTGAAAAAACCTGGTGTATTTTTTACGACTGTTTTAATGTGTGTAGCAAGCAGTTGTGCATAGCAAATATTAGTTAGAGTGGATGATGCGTGTTGTTAAGATGCTTTCCATAATGTAAACAAACGTAATGTGCAGCTGTATATCGCTCTCACTGTCTCTTGTAGAGTGACGTTGTTCGGGGTTGGCGACTTGCCAAGTGCCTGCCATTAAAATTCTCCTTCACGTTTGTGTTGTGACTTGGAATTCACAGGCGCTCTTAAGTTGTGACTGAGCTCTACTGAAGACAGTTGTTAAATATAAGTAAATCTATTATATGAACTAGGGTAAATGAATTATCTGAAATGGGGTAAATAAAATAAATGAGCGACTGTTTCCTAAATGTATGACTGAGGATTTAATCAGTCAGTTGAAGTTACCTCAATTGTCGTAGACACATGGTACATAACGCTTTGAATTCGTGTTTGTTTGTTAATGTCATATCATAGTCAATAAAAACTGTGAGGAATGTGTACATATTGTTAAGTTGGCAGGTATTTGGTGCGTGTACATGTACAAAGTGATTTTCATCCATGATAAATATATCCGGTTTATAAAAGATGAAAGCTAGGGGTTGCATGTTTGATATTGTCACTGTACTTGAAACTAAACTACAACAGCGGGGATTGTTGATCTTGTTTCAAGCACCAAGAATAGTGTACCAAGTATGGATCCACGTTACACTGGTCATCAACCCATGATTGTCGTGAGGCGACGGTCGAGTTGTCTCTGACTGGAATGTCAAACACTCGTGATGTCAATCACGGGATTGTCTGGTCCAGATGCCGTTGTTGACAACCGTGGTATTATCGCTGAAATATTGCCCAGTGAGTTGAACAACATACAACCTGGTCCTCACTGAGTGAGTGAGTGAGTGAGTGAGTGAGTGAGTGTTGGGTTTAACACCGCCCTGAACAGTATTCCTGTTACACACCTTACCGTGGGAGGAAATTCGAAAGCTATACAGGTCCCATGTGTTTATCACTTTGATAAAACCCACGAGTATGGAGTTAACAAACCTAAAAACCTTATCGGGTAAACCTGGATTCGAACTCCTAATCATAGGTCTATGTCGAGCCCTAGGAACGCAAATCAATATGAACAGTCATATCCCAACATGTCAACGTTTGGAGGTGAAGTTCAAGGTGACACAAATCATAGTTTACCATTTTGCTGACAGACAAAATACCTCCATTTGAATCCGGGCTGATTCAAGCTTCATCCTTTCTCACGGTGGAACACCGATGGCTTTGTATTTTTTTAAAAACACACAACATACTTTTAAACAATATACTTATAGTTGTCACAACACAAAACAGTTTTTAAAAACTACGAGATAATTTCTCCCCAGGGGCAAGGGATGCCTTTATATATACACAAACAATATCGTGTTAAACGTACACCAAACAACCCGGCTTGAAGTGTTTGTCAACCCATCTCACACCCTTAAAGTAAGATCGTTATTCCTCCGACCAACACTTAGAATTTCATCCACAAAGGTGTTTACAGCTAGCACCACAGAGGCGGGTTATGCTGCACAGTGTAGCATCGTGTTCTGGGTATGCACAGACATTCATCTATTGTTGTTTTTTATTTGATCACACTGCAAAATGTCATTAAGCATTCTGGCCCCTGTGACGGTAGTCTTCTCTGACAAAGGGACGTCTTCGAAACATAATTCCGACTTGAAGATGCTCAACAAGCGCACAGAAGGTATTTGAAGTGCAATCTGTTGACGAAAAACACCTTCTCGTTTAAATTTTAATTTATCAACAAGCACCTGCGGCACTGTGACTCATCCTGCTGTCGTCTACAGACAATGTGAGATCAATACACATTAAGTCTTTTTGTGGCATCGTTGTCGTGGAAGCAGCGGAGCGTCACAAACAGTAATGGAAATGTTCACACCGTTGATTATCTGCTTGGATGGGTTTAATTTGCATTAAACGCCATATTTTTTGAAGATGCAACAATTCGTCTGTTTATTCGTAAGGGGTCGTAGATTTTGCTACACTCGTCTCTACGGGGGTATTTGTTTGCTGTCACATGAAGCGTCATATACATGGCTAATTATGATATAAAGTAGATCGGAGGACGGGGGAACAGCGCGAGAAGAGATTCTTACCTGAACCACTTTGCATAAAAGCAGCGTGGTATTGTATTGAAACTGAAAACAGAATAATCAGACTCCAGAATGGGAGCAGACAATATGCATTGTCAACATCCCGCTTGTGGGAGCGATACTTATCTAACTCCTCGGCTGCGGAAGGGTGGAGGGGTAGTCTAGTGGTTAAAGCGTTAACTCGTCTCACCGGAGGAGACCCGGGTTTGATTCCACACATGGTTACAATGTATGAAGCCCATTTCTGGTGTTTCCGCTGTGATATTGCTGTAATATTGCTAAAAGAGGCTTAAAACCATACTCACTAATTCAGTGGGAATCGCGAACGTGGACAGTGAAACCGCGGTGGAGTGAGGAACGGGGAATGGGTGGTTGAGTGGTTGAGAGGTTGACAAATATCATATTGTAAGTACGTCAGTAAATAAATCTTTACAGATCCTGAACTTACATTTTTTTATATTTGGATCATGGGCATTATATCGATTTTGTAGAATTGTGTATGACTCAGTCGTGTTTTACACTGACGTCTTACAATTGCGACATTATTTTGGTGGTGTCACTGTGTTTTGTGTTTTTGAGGTTAATTATAAAAGCCGGTTGAATATGCTGGTTGGTTAGATACAAGACAATTGAACGGAAAAGTATTCCACGCTGGCCTGGGAGAGTCGAGATTGGATCTCGACCAGGCAAACCCGTGACCAATAATTACTTGTCACTGGCAATTCTTGTGAAAGTATATCAGTCGGGTCACATTTGAGAGCTGGAAATCCAAGATGGTCACCCATCCAAGTCTCCCTCCATCAATGAAACCGTCAAATGGTAGAAGGTACATTCTGGGTATTCATTATGATCCTAAGAGATTCAGGATTCAACTTAAATATGTAAAATACATTAAATAACAATTACGTATTACTTACTATTGACATAACTCCTCAATTTGTCTCTAATAACCAAGCAGGTCTTTTCATCGCCCTTGAACTTGACCTTCCTGGCGCTTAGGTTACAACTTCCGGTTTTGGTAACGTAATGGATGGTGAAGGAATCCTGGTTTTCTTTGAGTTGCTTGACCCTCTTGCTGACGGCCAACATCCTGTCAAGGGGGATGCTACCTACAAAGTGCATAGAACTCATTAAAAGAACGCTTATATTATTCAATCATACACTGCATCAGAACATATTCATTGCAACTGTTATACAAATGGACATGGGGACGCAGCGATTGACATGCCATTCAAGCTAAAACACCTCAAGGTGGTTTTACGGACATTCTTAAAGAATATGTATTACTTCGGGATTTTCTCCCACATGAAGCTGACCCGTCGTGATATAATTGGATTAGTGATACAATTAGAGTTAAAACCACTCTTTTTCAGTCAGCAAGGGATTCAGGACATATTCACTTACTTATGCAAAGATATTCAAGCCGGTTTTACTAACAGTTCAAATTTATAACGTGTATTACTCAGTCCAATTTACATGTTACCTGATATGTTGCAAAGCCTTGGACAAAGGTGTTGTTTTGGACCTGACAAGAATGTCTTTGTAATTGTAATCCACCTGTGGAGTTTTTGGAATAATGAATGTAAATGGTGAAATTTTATTTGAGATATTTGCATATACCACTCAATGCCGAGACACGTATTCTGTAAAGCTTGAATAAATGAGATCACTCAATACTTAGGGGTGTCTCATGACAAGACATGGATGTTTAATCGAGTGAGATTTGTGGGGTTTAACTTGAATACCGATACGAAGATACGATAGTAATGTGGGGGTACTTGTTTGTGCGTAGGAAAGTCCAAAGTGACTAAGAGCTGGACGGTTTCCAATGTGGCAAAACATGGCAAGTGCATGTACATATAGCGACAGGCTAGTTCAGAGGTCATGGCGCTTGCTCGTTTGGTTTGGGGTCTGGATGGGTAGAAAGTGTAAAGCCCTTTCCCCCCAGTCGTGAATCGGTTTGAATTATAATAATAGAGGCAAAAACTATCAATGCATGGAATACTAGACTCTCGGAAAGGGATTCAGAAATGGTTCTTAAGTGGGGATTCGAACTGGGGCATTTGCGTAACGACTGAACGGTTTAAGCCGGGTTTCCATGTGCGCGCAGTGCATGATACGTAATGTGTAGTGCGTAATGCGTACACAACACTTTATGCTAAAGTAGTAATAGCGGTTTCCATGCACGCGTAAAACGTGATGCGTGATACATAGTGGGTAGTGCGTGAATTTGCTTACGCTAAAAAAGTGTCCGAATACGCATCACGCAGCTATACGGAGGCCGGAAGTAAGGATTCCCAAGGGGTTTTCCCAATGTCACGTGGTTTTCATTGTGCACACAAGTTGCAAAATGCCAAGGAATTCGGTACCCAGAATACTGAACAATTAATTGAACCCTCCTTCTTTGTATCAGGAGTTCACGCACCCACCACCGGGGCCTTTGTTTTTTCACATAACAGTATAATAAACCTGCCCTAATCACATCCTCTGTTATATCTGTTAGTTCTCTATCGTTCTCTGAGAAACAAGCTGGCATTGTAAACCGCAATTGTGATCAGTACAATCTCCAGGAAAGGAAGGACTTGATTTAACGCATCACATTGCCTTTATACACATACACATGGAATTGGACACTACGCACACATAATACGCACTAAGCACTACGCACCACGCGATTACGCAGACAGTACGTACACATGGAAACCTAGTTTTAACCTCTAGACTACCCGAACGGCAATCAAATCGGTCGTGCATGTCGTGGGTGGATTGAGATTCATTATATATTATCGTGACAATGTATTGGACGTCATTCTCTTCCCACAGAGGTTACTCCTGTCATATCTTCCTACGTAACCTCTGTTCTAATACGGCCATATTTCCAGGTTCTCGTAAAATCCCCTAGCGGCAAAAGATCGCAACACGAATTATCTCCCTTCTTTCTATCCAATCAGAACACCTGTTACATCGACTTAGATTCAACTTGACTAACACAAGCAAATGTGAGGCCACAGATATCCCCCATCTGCCGGGGACTTGTGTTGATGTTATACACAAGACGTTTAATGGCTAGCTTGTCCGTTGTCGACGAGGGCGATGGAGACGCCACTGACCCGCCATAACATGACTGAGTTCTGTCTAGAAGAAACGTTTGCGCATCGCGCAGGGGAAGAAGTTTAGTTTTCTCGAAGCATACGGAAATTACCGAGGCCTTTGCGAATGATCACTTTTGAAACAACGTCGCTGATTGCACAACTAAATCTGATTGTCTCCAATCACGAGTCTTGAACGCTCACACCATGAAAGGGCCGTATTAGAACAGAGGTTACGTAGGAAGATATGACATGAGTAACCTCTGTGGGAAGAGAATGATTGGACGTAAGTGTACATGTATCTGACAAGGCTGTCCACTAATCACGTATTTACACTTTAAAACGTGCATGTGGTAATGGGAGCGCATTATACTCTAAGGACCATCCACGAGTCTTTGTGGCAATTATCACTTTCTCATCGCAAACCAAACAGATGAATTCCACACACATCAACGTGATATTCGACAATACTTTTTCTCCGTTATGTTTGTATATCTGCTTATAGGCGGTCTTGCACGTGTTACTTTACCTAAGTATTCTGAACAAAAAAATAAACGTGATTTGGGCGTTGAATGGTACCGTTCAAACTACTCATTTTGTGATGAATAAGTATTGCGTGGGGATTGAAATCGTAGAAATGGACGACCATCGTTTTTGTTATTAATCAAGTATTTTCGGGATACTTGAGGTTCCTGGAAATATACTACCCATCAAAAGTTTACACTCGCTTAAATCAATCACTATATGTTATGTACGTACATATGGTTACAAAGAAGATTAATTTCTCCACTAACTTGGGGGAAACATCTGCAAACCTTATGCAGATTAATTGCACGAGGATCATGCATCAAATTGATGGGGAGTATACTTGAATTCCGCGACCCATCCTCAGGTTTACTGTGTATATTTGTAACTTTAATTGTTATAAACTCGGTCTATCCAGTCGCTGACATTGCTTCGTTTTGAGTCCTATTCGAATGGCATAACGCTAGAATATCCGCCAAACTATATATAGATTGGTGTTGTGATGCCACTTTCGAACCATAGGTATGGCGACGTAATGCTTTGGGGTATTTGTAATAATAGAATGGTGAGTGGAGAACACTGGGTAAACGTTAATGCTCTTCTCAAATTGTTTATTAAAATATTCTAACCATAACCCTGGTACGTGACGCGGGTTCTTGACAAACCAATGATAATAATCGCAGCAAATATTTGAGTCGAACTCATGATTAGCTAATCGTGGCACGGCTGATACATGTTAAACACACTATATCTGTCTCATCCAGTTAACATGACTGCCTATGAAAAATAACACTAACCTAAATGTACTGAGACCAAACAATGGACAAGAGTGAGTAATTTATGTGAAATGATGTCCTTATTTATAAACACAGGTATCTGGGGAACAATGAAGGTGCTTCGTGAGATAAACGGAGGACAATAACAATAATATCAATGGCCGACCAACTAATGTTTGACAATGAGACCAGAGAGGGTACAGTTTCATCTACATAATCTGGGAATAGAGGTGGTTCAGAATCCACCAAGGATATAAGCCTCAACGTGTTATTAAGCATAATAGTGTTTGATTTACGTTTTCATGCTTCCTTGGCGCAACTAGTGGTGAAGAAATACGCCTACAGTATTAATGTATAGTTACAAAGGGATGCGCATTGCTGTAATCAATAGGCACCAATGAATGATCTTAATGAACTACTTATGATGAAGACAATTCGCTTTACCATATAGAAGGAGTTTGAAGATCAAACCTGTGTTTACTTCGAACGAAGGACGTTACATTTTAATATCTGAAGACATCTTAGTACATCTGTTTGAAATAAGGTGAAATGAAATTTTTCGATGAGACCACATGAACATGTCCGTATGTATTTACACCGACGAAAACATATGGGAACAAACAATTAAATGCAGCAATCGTAGTGTACATTTGCAATACCGTCTTGTTGCATGCGAACGGAACATTTACTCACAATGAAACTTCACGTCAAGTATGAACACACACGTCATGCACGTGCAGAAAGCGTGTGCGGCTATCGGGTAATTCTCAGTCACTTATGCACTTGAGCTAAACGTGAAGATTCGGGTCTTCATCAACCTATACTTGTCGTAACGACAAACGGGATTGGGTGGTCGGGCTCCCTGACGTGATTGTCACATGACAATGTATTGCGTAGATCGATGCTCATACTGTTTAACACTGCATCACTGCAAATGGGTAAGTTTGTACCATTCTCTAGAATTATGGTAAAACAGTTTGAACAGTGAAACGATCATGCCAGAAAACATCGAGCCCGGGTCCCGTTCCACAAAATAATCGTAGCGCTAAGATGATCGTAACTCCCATAGACTCTAACTTTAACGTAGACTTACGACTGTCGCAGCGCTACGATCGCTTTGAGAAACGGGGCCCTGGGGCTTGTAACTCGAAGCAGTCGTTAGATAATCGTTAAGCATACACTATTTTAACGTTGTGTAATTCGAAGTAATCCTTTAAGTTAGGACTATCTTTAAAAGGCAGGTTAGCGACTGTGTATAAGGTGTACCCCTGACCAACCTTTAAGCAGTCTTTAACTGGTCGTAATCCATATCAACGTATAATCCGTTAGGTACAGAATTAATCCGTTATAGATACTTTGAATGATGGTGAAATACAAGCAGGATTCAGACTCAACAGACCACACATTTTTACCTGTGTGATTTAATCAGAGATGATGTTGCACGTCCTACATGTCGGTCAAATGCTCTAAGTGTATCACTACAAGTTGTGACAGCGCTTCGTTATTATGCAACTGCGAGTTTCTTGTCCGTTGGTGCAGATGTACAAGGTTTGTCAAAAATGGCAGGTTCGAGATGCGTCCACGATGTCTTAACATCATTGTGCAAACTTGCCAGTGAGTTTTTTTCATTTTCCCAAAACACAAGTTGAAAGAAAATGAAAGCTGTGTGTAAGCCAAAGACCGAGGACCCGCCATCATGGCCAAGCTTTGGGTAGCTCT